TCAGGACCATCACTGGCATAAAGATGATTTTTGTACAGTTTGGATAAACTGATTTACAGTTAGTAAAATAGACTGCTTACCATCAGATTATCCTGAGACTGGTAAAATGTAGTTCACACTTGCTGAGTTTGTGAGACTCAACTTGTGTTAGGCACGCTAAAATTAATGCAGAGAGCCACCAGCAAACTCAAGGGGAAGTGAGGAATTAACATTATCTGTTTATAAAGCCAAAGATGCATTTCTATAAAGCCAGATCTTGATACTAATTTTTTAGTCCTCTCATAGAGTTTTCTTAACCTGGTGCAACAAGATGACCAATAACTATTAAAATTACTTTTTTTTTTTTAAAGCTATTTTTAAATCACATCCTTTCACATACAGTAGGGTCCAAATTAGATGTTTCAAAATACATTGTGTTCTTTATTTCATCAGTTAAAAGGAACGTTTATATATTCTTTCTTTCTGCATGTTTAGCTTCATTTAGTACACAGTGACCTATTTAATTCAATATTCTATTGAAATCATCTGTGGATACATTGACTCTACTTATCTCTTATCAAAATCTTTGATGTAACAACATCCTAGCCTACAAATATCTTGTTAGAATATCATCACTACAATTCCACATCACTTTTAAGACTTTTCAGTCTGACAGATCAGCACATAACATGGCAGTGTGTTTTCTCATCTTTTATCTAATTAAAAAATTATTTGTATTGTTTGAAGCATAAACCATGCATATTTCTGTCATACCAACCAATTAGATTTCCAATCAGCAGAGTATGGCAAGTCCTATTTTCCTCTGTCTCATACTACTGTAAAACAAAAAACTTTTGTATAATCAACTGCATAATTTTATCAGTGTCTATAAGAGAAAACTGTGTGTAAAACCCAATCTGAAGGCTAAAGTATTGACAATGAGAATGATGGCTAATTGTTCTACTTTATTCCTCTGTGTCATGAAAAGTGAAAATTACTTCCTTGCACCAATAGTTTCAAACACCCCAATTTTTAGTGTAAGGAGTATCTGCTTTTCTGAGGCTGTAGGTTTTGAGGTAACTTTGTTCTTAGATGGTATTTCTTATTCTGTAGACAGGCAAGCAGTGACCCAGCTGGACAGCAGCCCTCAGATGGTCCACAGAACCTTTACTACCTACTCACAACTAACACATTAATGTTACAGTTTTAATTTCGAAGATAGATTACTCTATGATCCAGGAAGTTTGGAAAGGACTGATTTTTAAATTGTTGAAACATACAAGGTGGAGACTGAACATTTATGTTACATTTTTTTATTAATTTCATAGCACTATGTTCTTCCATGTGGTGAAGTACATTTTAATCTCTAAGAATAAAGATAGACTGTCAGCTTTATTCTGATAAATTTATTTCTCTAGTTTGATATATCAACAAATTGATTTATATTTTATTTGCTTTGTTTTGATTTCAGAAGTCCATCACATTATAAACATGATTTTTATTTAGGCTCCCTTTCTGCTCCCCTGGTCTCTTCAACTTCTATTCAAATTGTTTAATATGAATATCCAAGTAAATGTTAGGAATAGAAGATGGACAAAGGAGGAAAGTGTTCACTGTTTGTTAATTTAGCAACTTTGAGTCACCTAAGGATGAATGGGACCTTTAAGCAATTAGTATCATGCCTGTAATGATAGGTCATGCAGTACTTTTGTCAATGCCAAGGGAATGCTCCTCAGAGACATCTTTCAAGGACTTCTGGTATCTTTTAGCCCTTTTACATGGCTGGGTCTCAATGGTTCCTCTGCTAGTGATCCTCTCTGCTCATCAGCTTCTGAATCACATTGTTTGGACTGTAGCCACACAAATCAGTATTCCAGTTTAATAGATTAGTAGATTTTAATTTTAAGACACATAATTAAGTAATTTAGTCTGATATGTGTCATAGACCATTGTATTTAGCACATTTGTATGTGTATCACTCCTGAAATCCCATAATCTGGCAAAGCATAACTATTTGGCAAAATTAAAACTATCAGAAAGACACTGGATTTGTATTGGGAAGTCACAAAGGAGCTTCCAGTTTTCTCTCTAGTTTGTTCGAGGAGGTTAATCAGCCATCTTCTTGCAAAGATTCGTTGCAGCTGCTTCGTTGCTTCATCCTTATTTTGATTTGACTGGCCTTAGCTTCCAGCAAGAGTTCTCATTAAGTGTGTCTCCACTAGATTATAGTATCATGCATTATCCAGGGGTTTTTGTCTTGGTTTGTTTGGGTTTTTTTCTGATGGCAGTGCTTATCCTTTGATATCAAGTCAGTTTTCAATCTTCTTTTTTAATAAGAGTAATAGATTAAGCTCTTCAATTCATCACTGTAAGATTTTCTTCAGGCCATAATAATTCTTGTAGATCTTTTCTCCCCTCTGTTCAGTTTCTTAACATGCTTTTAAGACTAGGGACACTACACAGATTGGATTTTCAGTGTTAGTCTTGGAGCTCTAGTATACAAAGCTGTAATAGTTGCATTTGGCCAGGATCATTATGTTCATTTCTGCAAATTTAAATACCTGTAATAGTGCATTTTTTACAGCTAAGAGCTCATGTTTACCTTTTCTATAACATATGCTTTGGACCCAGATGCTCTTTCATAGCTTGAAAAAAAAAACAATCTTCTGAGATCTTTGTTATTAGATGACCCACAGAGTTTATTATGATTTACTGAGCACCCTCACTGAAATAAGCACCTCACGGAGGATCCATACTGCTGTAGTTTTTATCATCTGTTTTTTCCTACCCATATTCAGACCAACAGTGTAACAGAATGATAAACTCTTGCCTAGAAAGGAGAGGATCTTTAGGGATCTAATGATAGCACCAAGAGAATGTCAAGGTAGATCTGCATAATTTTGTATTGGAGAAGAAGGGATGCTTATAGTTCTATATCCAAGCTCTGTTTTTTATTGGCCAGTAAACCTACCAGTATTAGGTCAATATTAATATTTAGGAACCACTGAGACCATCTTCTCAAAATGTAATTTTTTTCCATTGGATGGCAAGAAAATTAAATTTTCACATTTTCTTGCTCTAGTTATTTCAGCAAATATACTGCCCCCAATGCTTCAAGGTTACCTTGAAATTCCCAAGTCTGATTTTTCAGTTCATGGTATCCTTTCATGTCTAAAGTTGTATCTAGCTGTATTTCCATAAAGTGCTTCCTAGAAGTGTCATTTCTTTACCAGAAATCTTATAGTTAAGCCACTGGGATGATGTATCTAGAACTGACCCAATTAAATGTTTATAGGATTAGGCCAGAGATCAGATATTTCATAACATAGCACAAGGTAAATTAGAATGTCTCAGTTTACAAGGATTATAGCACTTTATGAGTTTTCTGTATTTTGCAGTTACCCTACTCCCTCTTTGACTGAAGAAGTTTAACAACTAAAAACTATAAAATAGTAAAGATTATATACAGTGACACCAAAAAATTATGGGGAAGTCATTGCTGTGGGGAAGATTTTCCAAGGCATATGAAGAAGAAGGGAGTGAGATGACTACAAAAGTTTACAGGGAAGTAGACAAAAGGAAAAAAATCTTATTTCTAATGAATTTCATGCTCTGTGAGCATGTTGGAAAAGATTCTTTCCTGCATGAGGTTGTAAGGTTTGGGACAAGGAGTAAGGAACTTAACTACCTAAAGCACACTAATGGGATGGAGTACCTAGTTTCATTTTCTAGTTCTTCCATTAGAGTTAGGAATCAAGAGATATATATATTATACAGGACATATTGCAAAATTATTTAGTCCCTTTCTGCTTGTCAATATAATTTGACTGATATTTTATCACAGTTTACTACATTTTCTGTAAAGTAATGTAAAAAGAGACAAGCCTAAAAAGGTGTATTTGATGGAAGCAAAAAAAAATATTTTAGACCAGAAAATATATTAAAGTTTTATTAATTTGCATTGGAAACTATAGAAAAAATATGGAATTTAAAAATTATGTGTAATCCTTATTTTCACAATGGTAATAGAAAAATTGTCACAAAACATAAAGTTATATTAGTCACCTATGTGTTTCATTATTTGATCTTTGTGTAGTTGTTTCATTCAAGAACCATTTAATCTGAAATATATCCACATTTGAACTAGTAAATGACAGTATACTTTGTGTAAATATTTATGTTTAGCTTTTTAAACTTTAAACTATCTTTTACATGTACTGAGATTTGAGAGGAGAGCCCTGTTTATTTGCATCAAGTTATCACTTAGATTAACAAAGAGACACTTTCAGGTATCAGCATTAGTTTACTAAACAAGGTTGGAGAATAAAGAAACGGGAGAAAACTTTATAAATCTGCCAGCCTAATCCAGACAAAAGCTAGCTATATCAATTCAAAAGCATTTGGACACCTCTTTAAAATTCAGAATATACTCAGAGCAAATTCATTGCAGGAAAAAAAAAATAGGTGATTTCTTGGATGAGGGCCGCAGCACTTTACATTTTTGGGTTCTTCCTGGAATTATCACAGCTTTTCCTGTAGATTTTTTTTTTCTAATTATTATTGAAAATTTGATTCCTCAGTATTTCCGTTTAAACAGCAGGAATGAAATTTCTGTTATTTCATTTTTCTGCATTCCTGAAACCTAAATTGTACCTGTCATTGCCTTGCACATAGATAACAGTTATGCACCAGAGAACCCAAAATAACAACCAGAAGATCAGAGTGCATTTTGTATGGGTTCATTAAAAACTGTTAATATTCAGAAGGGATTATTAGGATAGCAGTTTTTATCCATTATGTCTTTTCACCAGTCAAGAGTCAATGCTTGATAGAAGAGGCTCTAAAATCCTTTGTTACTGCTGAAGGAGCAGGTCTACTTGGCACTGGTATAAACCCTCTCCCCACGCAGGTCATAAAAATCATGGTATCATACAGAGGGGTGCCAGATCAAAGCAGAAGTCTCTTCAGTTCCACATCCCACTTGATTGTGAGTGGCACTTTATTTTTTGTCTTTCCTGCAGAGATTTTTACTTGGCTCTGGTTTCTTGCTGACACAGCCAGTCTGGTTCACTCATTGTTTCAGCACTTTCCATCATCAGTCACAGCTGTGCAGGGTGAGTATAAATGCTTCTAGGCAGAAAGCAACACTACAGCCATCCAAATGAATGCACAGGGTGCAGAGCAATGAATATTCAGCACTTCTGCCTCCCATATTGAAGCAGGGACATCTCCTTGTCCATAGTCCTATTTCCACATTACCTTCATCTGGAAAAAAAACACCTCTTGCTCCAGAAGGAATGGGGAAGTGAAAAAGAGAGAACAAGTGAGCATACTGAATCAAAGCCTTTTTTTTTTTTTTTTTTCCTTTCCTCTAATATCTATTTTATAATCTAGTTTGAGGGCAATATCTAGCTCTTTCTTGCACTAGAATCATTCCTCCAAACTCAATTTTTAAATATCTTTAATTACACTTAGTGAAGGTAAGCCATGAGTGCTGCTTTAATATTCTAGATGGTCTTGTGGATTAAAATTAGATTTATACATTTGCCTAATAAAAGTAATGTTGTGAAAGAAAGTAGTTTGAGTATGTGAGAAGTAATTGCATTGTATGACTTGCCTTGGGCAACCCTTAATGGATTGAACTCAGCACCAGCCATTATACCACTGGAGCATTTTGTATTTTTATGTAGCAGTGCAATGGAATTTAAATTTTATGCACAATTAGTTCTGTATTGATGTATAGCTTGTAGGTAGGGTTAAGTTATAAAACTGAGTGTAAGCCTCTAATGCAGCTTTTCCTTTGGTGGAAGGGAAGTAAGCATAAAAAAAAAATCAACCTGGTGGAGGGAGTAAAATTTGTACTTGGCAGTGACTCCGCAGTACAGTATTTCATGCTCAAGAAACTCAACATAAGTATTGACAAATCATGTAACTGCTTTAATGACACCTCCTTAATTTGAGTTTCTCCCCTACCAATTGCCTTTACGCACTACAATATTTGAGAAAAGAGATGAAGCTGAAGTATTTATGAGTTGAGTGTATAAAATGGAAGGCTCTTTTAGCCACAGTGAATATTTTGAAATATTCATTCACAAGCTGACATGGCAATAAAATGACCCAATCAAGTGTGACACAGTATTTTATACAATATTCAGATTTAGGGGCAAATAGTCAGTTTCTTTCTTCATTCTAATGAGTTTTATGTAAAACAAATACATTCTAATAAGGTAGATATCCTTACAGCAGCTGAAGAATTTATAACATACTCAGTCTCTCAAATAAATCTTTCATTCTGTGCAGGAGTGTGGTGGAGTCAGAATGCTAATCTATCTCTTAAGTGTCATGATTTAATTTTTTTAAGTTATCCTCATGCCTGCAACGAGCCTTCTCTTTGCCAACTGCCTTTTTGACACGAGACCAACCACATCACTGGAGGTTTCTAATGATGAGCCAAAAAATTACATGCAGGCAGAAATTGCCTGAACATTCCTAATCTTGCACCTTTTATGCTTTTTAAATACTACCCTTTAAATTAGTGTTTTTTTTGTTCTGGTCTTAGGATCTTCATACTGCACACCTCTACTTCTGATTCCCCTTATTTCTTGAGACAGTAAGTCTTTTCTCTGCTTCTTGCTGATCACACTTTCCTCGAACATTCTTTCAGGGTTTTTTTTTTGGTTTTTTTTTGTTTGTTTGTTTTTGGTTTTTTTTTTCAAATACACTAAATATGGAGTGAAGAATACTCTGAGATTAGAATTTAAATGCACATGAAAATTCCTTTTGAAATGCATGATTGAAAAGAATGGGTTTGGGCCAAGAAGTTGATTCTCCCAGCAGGGGAGACTCATATTTTCATTCTAGATTTGATTTATTGCATTGCTTAAATTAAATCTGACCTCTGTTACTCTTCTGCTGCCTTCCTTTATCCATGATGACTTTTACAGCAACAGTTCACCTAAGAGCTTTATTTTACTTCTCCTGTGACATCAAAGTTAAAGGGAATGCTTAGATGGAGTGATGTACTCTCTAGTAAAAACATCCCAAGTCATTCATATGCACCCTCTCCCTTCACTTCAACCCCTTTTACTCTTGCACCTTTTTTTACTATCTCTTCAGTTGTGTTGGTACAGTTCTTTGTCAGTCAGGAAGGAAAGCAAATCAGTATTTTACTTAAACAAAGCAAGAAAGCATGTGTGATCTGAATGTTTCCATAATCAGGTTTACAAGTGATTGGACTGGCATGGCTGAGAGAATAATGGGCTGGAGAAACCCATTCCTTTAGCCTTGCTACTACCATTGCTTATTGCTTTATGCAGTCAGTCCTTAGAGAAGTCTAAACTACAACATCATACACACCACTTGTATTGGTCCCCATCAGGACCAAGTATTTAAAGAATTCCTCTTCTGGGATATATTTGTACAAGGATATTTAATCTGCATTATCATTGGGAATATTTGATAGCACTTCACTGAAAAGCCAGTTGGAGAGCACTTGCCTTGCCTGCTCCTGTGAGTTTTCTGGATAGGAGAATGCTTAAAGCTTGAGCTGCTGTCTTGGGAGAGTTCATCAATTTATGGAAAAATCCCTGTTTATTCAGAGGCAGAAGAAGATGACATGTTTTGGCTTGTTTTGTTTTCATGGTGCCCAGTGCCTTTTGGGGAGCATTCATCACAAAATATTCCTTTCTAAGAATATTCCTTTCTAAGAATATTCCTTTACTCAATTATTCAATTACTCAGTGCTGTAATTCTAGGAATTTTCCTGTTCTCAAAGCTGTATTCTATAGACTTACCTTGCTCCCCTCTCTTACACTGCACTTATATGCACCATTTTTTGACAACAAAAAAATTACAAGTATGCCTGAAGTATTCATCTCTGGATCCCAGGTCCCAGCTCCTAGCCACCTCCAGAAGTGGAGAAACAAAGCATGTTTGGGGCTGCATTGAGATGTAAATCAGAGAAATTAGCTGTGTTTACTCCAACAGGGTTGTGATGACAAATTTGCAATGTTCCTTTTAATATGGACAGTTGTCTTATGTAATTCATGATGTCTGCTCACAGCAAGGAAAAGATGTTGTGTGGGATGGTGTTTTTCACTTTCCCCAGTTGTCTGTTCTACACCAAACCCTTCAGAGGACAGTAAACAGGAAAGCTTCTCCACTGTCACTTGCTGCTGTGGTTGCCTTTGCTTTGCACAGTCATCTCTGCTTTGTTTGGGTGGGAGACCAGTACTATGTCAGTGCCTCCTTCAGAAATGAACAAATTTTCTCCTGCACACCTCTCAAAAAGTGGATATTTCCACAATTTATTAACTTTATTGTGAGGATAACATAAAGGGGACAAAGAGAGGGGAAATCTATCTCCTATCTTTTTCGACCATTAAGGATATGATGAAACTCAATTGTCCTTCAAATTTTCGATGATCTTTAAAAACCTGTCTTTTAGAAAAATGGCCAGAAGGAAAGGAATTTAATTTAATTTTATTGTGTATTTTGACAAGATAATGATGAACTTTATGGCACCTAATTTTAATTAGGCCCTCCAAACCCGAATTGCATTATAAATTCATTATTAATTATTATCTCCATTAAACTGAAATTTTCCAGTGGCCAATTTGAGGAATACAGGTTTTGAAGTGCTATTAACATTTAAAATTATAAAAAAACATGGATTATTTGAAATGCCCATTGGAATACTTACCATTTTGTGTTGATAGCATCGTTGGGAGTGAAAACAATGCAGGTGTAGTGTGCTATGGCAAGCACACTATCTCCAGCTGTACACTGTATTCACTTTCAGAACAGGTAATTATATTTGGGAAATATTAGCAAAACTTCTTTAATTTGACAATCTGAGGTCTTTGTGAAATTTCTGTGCTAGATTACAACATTGTCCAGATTTGTACAAAAATAAAATTTGATGTATAGAATATCATGACTTCATAACCTGTCTACAGGGTGGAGTAGGGGAAAAGGGAGAAGAACTACTGAGGAAAGAGCCAAGATCTGAAAAGACTTGTTTCATGGTCTGACCTGTGGGAGTTAAAGCAGAAAATTACTGTTTTTCCGTGGGTAGCTGAAAGAGAATTCAAGGTCGCGATACATCATGAGAAATTTTGTTCTTAAAATAGCTTAAAGATCAGTCAAGTACCATTTTGAAATAATAATCAGAATTTGGAAAATACACTGACATTTGGAACTATTTTGGTAGCACTCCAACATTTGATTAGGGAGCTTTGGAATGACAAATGAATGTTCTATAAAAGCATCAGCTGAATATGTGGCTAGTTTTTCTGAAGTGAATGGATTTTTCACATGTGGATATTGTGATAAATATTGAAATAAAAAAGTAAGGTAATGCAGATTTTTTTGCTAATTGGTTAGCATAGCTTTCTCTGTTAGATTCTAAGGGTAATGCTCCTATTTTGAATATACTCAGTTTTCAGATTTTTAAAATTTTAGTGTCGTAATAATGGTAATGTATTTAATATTCAATGCTAATTAGACAGTTATACACCCAATGACATTTCTAAGCTATCATAACACTATAGTTATAATAGAACCAGTTAAGGTATGAATTTAGGAGACTTACTCCTCAGAGTCAAATCTGTTCCTTTTCTCCTGCAGGCCAAGCTCAATCACTGGTTATATATATAATTTTATTTTCTTTTTTAAATTTTTCCCTTTCCATGATTGTGAATTTCTAAAAACTACTAAGACCCTTTGTTTTCTGAATTTTTGGACAACTCCTTTTACCAACTTGTTTCTTTGTAGGCCTTATAAGCAGTATTTTGGACACAATTTTTATTCTAAGTTTGAAGAATTTTGGTGGTTTACATGATATATATTTTTGTCCAATTGTATGACAATAATTTTACAATGGAATTTTGAATGCAGTTGCTTACACTAACAATTTTTTTTCACTGTATATCTAAAATATTTATTTTAAAAGGTTTTGTTTTGCAAGGTCCTTTACTAGTAAGTGCACTCTCCTGAATTATGGAGATGATATCTTTTCTTCCAAAATCAAGAATTGCAAACTAGAAAAATTCAGCAGTAAATTTATGTTTAAACCAAAACATGAGAAACACAGCTAAGGCATCTAGAAGCAACC